TGTATTATTTTAACATAATAAAAGACTCATCATGACAATAACAGAAGCCCCAGGTGGTTTAGTGGAAGGCTTTGTTCATCCACATTCACCTGCACCAGTTCATCCTATTTGGCAATCATTTGCTGAATTCACAGCTGGTGCTGTCGGTAAGTCAATATCTTACATATTTGGAAAAAGTGATTAATGGTGTTGTATTTCTTATTTGAAAATTTCAAAAATAGTTGTGTCAGGGTTTTTTGAGAAAAAGAGAGAGCACTGCAATTCAGCGGTGCCACCAAGTGGAGGAAATAGGGTTCTCCCTACCAGGGTGTAGAGTTTTTGAGAATTCTAGGTTAAAATGAAGCATTCTATGGCTTCCTTGGGGCCAAAATTACTGTCAGACAGATGTGACACATGTGATCCCTGGTCAATTAGAATTTTATGGTTGCAAGAGAATCTGCTTCCCAGAATAAGGGGGCGCATGGCTGTGGCATGAGGGCGCTGAGCCCCTGTTCCCTTGTTTAAAACAATCCCTGGTTGCATAGTATGTGACAGGAATATAATCATGTCATTGGTGGAAAAGAATCACATTCAACCTGTGTTGATTAATACGATCATTGTACTTCTTTGATGTACATCCTTGTTATTATTATGGCATGTCACATTTGACATCTACATCCTACCATATTGGGAAATTTCAATTGTGGATTGATTAATCAGTATTTCAAAGATGGTCGTCATTTCAAAATGAAGTCAATAGCGAGAGAGTTTTATTAATATTAATGACCTGCACTGTTCTTGGCTTCTTGATTTTTGAAGATGTTTTGTCATGAATGAGCTGTGTCTGGCTTGGCATTATCTATCAATGCTGATTGCTAGAAATCTTATCAAACTCTATTTTATTTCATCAACAGGTGGCGTTGCATGCGTCATCACCGGGCAACCATTCGACACAATCAAAGTCAAAATGCAAACTTTTCCTTCATTGTATACCTCAAGTATTCAGTGTTGTCGAGTGAGCATTAAAAATGAACAATTTATCGGTCTTTACAGAGGCACCGTTCCAGCTCTCGCTGCTAACATACTTGAAAACTCAATATTGTTTCTGTGTTATGGTCTGTGTAAAAAGGCTGTTTGTCAGGTCATGGGTCACCCACATGAGGACCATCTCACGGCGCTTGAAAACGCTACTGCCGGGGCAGGTGCAGGCTTTTTTTCTTCATTAGGACTTTGTCCAACTGAACTTGTGAAGTGTCGAATGCAAGCAATGCACGAGGTCATTGCATCAGAAGGGAAAAAAACGACAGGCAGGTATGTTTTGTATGCAAGTTATTGAGTATATAGAGTTAGTTGTTTTCGATAAAATGAGTAAAAAATGAAAAAAATAAATGTCAGTCCCTGTTGTTTTGAACGATTCTATGAAATTAGTAGTGTAACATGATCACAACTTGTGCAGATGGCTGCTTAGCTGTGAGTCTTTTATACTGACATATTGTAAATAATAAAACCATATTTGCTGTATTAGTAACATAATAATCTAGTTAACCTTGTTATTTTCAATAATATCTGTAATAAATGCAATTCTTGGTTCTTCAAGAACCGATGATATCCGATGTGATGATATCCATGTCCTGACTTGTTATTAGGTTAATAAAATAAATATATTAAGTAAATTATTAAATATAAGTAAATTAAATAAGAAATGATATGACATTTTATTAAGCTATTAAGCACATTCAGACGATATACTATACAGAACTATATGTTTTGAGAAGTCTATACATTTAATGGTGATGACAGGGTAATTATGACCAGTTAAAAATATATTTGGATTTATATCTATAAAATGTCATGTCATGTCTCCAAAATATCATGCTGTTGTCCTGCAAGGTCACATTCTTTCACCGCATGTCAGTACTCAAAATAAACAGTAGCCCTGGACTCACAGAGCTATTCTGACTTGTAAGCAACACATGTTATGCATAA